CATTTATGCGTATCATGTATTGATTACAATATTCTTGGCTCAATAAATATACATGAAAACCAGTCACTCACTGCCCCACTTTACTGTCAGGAAAGAAGAACAAAACGGAGAGCACAAAGACGGCCTATACTGAGAGCTGAGGTACAACAAAACTACTAGCAGAGGTCGATGAGAGAACAGCTGTGCTGAGGGACTCTGCTGCTCTGCTGCATTGATCCACCACAACGAGGACATAAAATTACTGTATGAAACGTTGGTGCATCCACCATTCTTAAAAAAAAATCACTGAAGGCCACACAGGACAAATGTTATTGTTCCATCAGCTTTTGTCAAAGACAAATCAATGGAGATGGTTTTAAATAAAAGCTAATCTGTCCCTGTTCAGATTCTGAAGCCGCGGTACGTGCAGTACCTGTCTTCTACTGTATCGATCTTATTTTTCTTGCTTGGATTGGGCTTTATGGATGAGCAGAGAGAATGTGGGAGGATCCAGACTGAGTGTCTGCAGGCTGTCTGCTTTAGGTCAAAGCTGTCAGTTTAGGGTGACTTTGAATTGGCAGTTTGCTTTCATTGTATAGGCTGAATTTGGCATTGAAGAGCACAGATGCAGGTAGGAAGGCAGGCAAACGTAACTACAATAACCTACACACCTACTCAAAACATTTTAATGGACTATTCGTAAGTGCCTCTGCTGATACTAGCTCTAATCCCACGGGCAGTTTTGCACTACTGTGCTCAGGGATTACTCTGTGCCCACAGGCTAGAGAGCTGGACTGAGGCAGGAAGATCGGAAGCACAGCCTAATGTTTCACATGCTGGCTTTTAATCGTTTTCTGCGTAAACACATGGGATCAAAAAAACATTAGAAATGATGACGTATGCATATAATGAGAGCACTGACGCTGTTATTGTCCGCTGCAGTGGGGCTTTAAGGGCTCGGCCTGTCACACTTCTATCTGTCCTGCTGTCCCTCAACATTAGCTCAGTTGTCCTGGAGACAGATGAAGATGGTTCAGATTTTAAACCCAGCAGTTCATGTTTTTTCCAAATATGTAAGGTTCTGGGCAACTTGTTTCACCCTCAATAGCGAAACACCTGGGAGCTGCACAGCTGACCCCTGAGTACTGAGGAGGACGGTAAATGAAAGGTATCTCTGAAGGAAAAGTGCAGTTTGTTGTAGTTCCAGTTTGTCCCCAGCACTCTGCCCATTTGAACTATCGGCCTTCTCATCACAGTCTCGCCTCTTTCGCCATTAAGCTCTTGCCCCCTCCTCCTCCTCCTCCACCCCTGTATTATCTTGCATCTTTATCATCTCGTCTGAAAAGACCTCGCACTGCTCGGCCCCCCTGGGAATAGGAGCACAGCTCTCACCAGCAAAAGGCACAAATGCACTGTGCTGGCTTATGCAGTCCAGTGGAGTCCACTAAGTGCTTTCTCTATCTGAAAGATATGGAAAAGACCCAGCGAGACATATGCTGTCTCATCCTTGTCACTGATGATTTGCTGAAATGGAGAAAGACTTGAGTCTAATCCACCTTTCAGCCACTGGATTGTGGGAGAAGGTTTCTCATGACTGATGGACTTTCTAAGGACATGATCAAGTGGTATAATTGAGTTAGGAATTATAAAAAAGTTTTCTGGGAAAAGAAGGATACCGAAACGGTTTGAGCACAATATGCACTCGGTTTTATTCTAGAAACACCATCTGCCAAAGACAAACTTAACAGTGTTGTTTTCACAGCACAGACTTGGCCGTGATGCAGCAGCATCTTTCACAACTTTATTTTCTCATGCCTCTTCAAACTTGCATATGATGGGAAACTCTTGAAGATAAGAGGCTATAGTGTACTGTACTGTCTGTGATCCGGGGATAAGGTTCTGTCCTGTGGTAATTTAATACAGCTGAAATCAGCATTATCGGGGTCCTGTGGGTAGATCAGTGTTGTGAACAAGATTTAGGACAAGCAAGGATCGATTACTGACAGAGGCAATTCTAGACATCTTGAAGGGATACAGTTCCGCAGTTCATTCTGTTCAAAGGCCAAACTTCTTTTCTGGCTACAGTAGAAGAAGAAAAAAAAAGAAGGATAAAAAAAAATCTCTTTAAAGATATTTCGCTGTGAATCTCCATCCTGAGTGTTCGTTAACTATTACAGAGAGGGCTGCTGGGAATTAATGTCTCTGACAAAGATGAGAGCAGACAAAAACATGTCTTGTTAAAAGGCTAATGTCCACTCTGCCCTTCTAGATGTGATGAGATCTGCACTGTTCCCACCAAGACCATGAGTGACAAAGTGGATTACTTCACTGGTCTGGACGCGGCTCAGTAGGAGTCGCAGCAATAACAGACGGCTATTCTTTCCTCTTTTAGGAACCAAAACAAAGTCTGTGTGTGTTTCTCTGCGTGCACCTACACACATCGGAGCTTGTCTGGCGCACTATTATGAAAGTAGAGCATGTGCCTTGTTTACTTTTTCTAGAAAGTGAAGCCCAACACTCGCTCGCCAGTTCGTCTTTTCACACAGCGTTTACTGATGCTGAGTCTGCACCAAGAGGATCATTTTTAGCTCCTTTGTTTGTGTGCGTTATGTAAATTTTTGCTACTTCCTTTTCCATAAAACAATGCTTTTAATAAAGGATTTATGCACGTTTTCTGTCCTGCTTTGGGAGCAGCAGCAGCCGGCGTAATGAGAATGGCCTGAGCAGCAAAGGGAGGAAAGTGGGCAACGCTTTTTTTTTTTTTTTTTAAAGCACAATCTCATGAATTTTTCAGTGAATTCGTGAATAAAAGTGCAGGGCTCTAGTTTTGCTCACCAAGCGAATAGTGAGCCCTGTTTCTTCAGGATTAAAAATAGCAGCATGAGCCGAGCTGTGCTGAGGAGAGTGACGGACTTAGAACTGAGGTCTGCATTATCTGCCCACAAAAACACTGCCTCCAGCATCCAATCATGTCCCAAAATCATTGACATGGTCTGAGGGAACACAGGGAAGCCACGTACGACTCCATCTTGCATTCTACTTTTTTACTTAAGGCTGAATTAAATCTTTTGGTGAAGTCTCCGTGTGTTGACAAAATGTGGGATTAAGCTGTTGTCTGGCTATGAAAGCTGGGGGGCTTTAAGCCTCTAATCTATTTATCAGCCCTCACCAGTCTCACCAGATCAAAAAGCAGGTATTTTATTGTAGGCCTGGGATGTGAGGGAGCTGGTGCAGCTCTGAACGTCCACAGGCCCTTTAAAGTTCAACAGGCTATTTGTTAATGGCTGCTGCATCCCATCTGAAGCCTCCCTGCAGACTCCAGTATCACCAGCACCAGAACTGCGCAGGCAAAGCAGGGAAACGTTGTGTGTGTGATGTTTCATAACTATCACAGGCTCTGAGTTTAGTTTGGAATGTGTTTACCATTATTCCAGGCAGCATCCCTGCCGTGGCAGCTGCTTTACTGTCACACTGTGGAAGTTGCAGCTTTGTTTTTGTGTTTTGGAGCCCAGAAGTTTTTAACTCTGCTGACAGACAGGCCGTCTGTCGTAACGCTCAGTCTGTGACAAATGGCTGCGTCTCCGGCTGTATTTACACCTCAGCACCGGGCTGTTGTCTCCCCACAGTTGGTCATCTTTGGACCCGACGTGCCTGAAATACCAGCCGCTGCTAAACGTTAACATTTAACTGCGATAAGTGCGAGTTTTACCTGTAGATGCAGTTTCCATAGCAACGGGAGGCCTTTTCCCGTCGTCCTGGAAAGGATGAAATTGTTGATCCAGGTCGCCCGTCGCGTCGCCGCCTCTCGGCTTGAAATCTTCACGTAGCTCGTCGAACCGGGTCGGCGTGTTCCCAAACAGGCCGTTTCTCTCATAGTCATCCCCGAACCACTTCCCCTCCGAGCCTAGCTCCTCACCGGGCTGAGCGGACATGCTTTTCCCCTGTTGTCGGACAGAAGACACACTCGCTTCGGTTCTTCTTCTTCTTCTTCTTCTTCTCTACCGTTCACTACCGGGCTGCTCTGTTCACGGCACCGCGAGGATGGCTGACAGAGGGGCGAGAAGCACCACAGCGAGGCAGGCAGGCAGGCGGCAGCTCCTGGCTGGCGTCTGTCAGCTGAGCCTGGGGTTGGTAGACGCCACGGACGAGGCGGTGCGGTCGGTCGCTCGGTCGGTCGGTCGGTGGGGAGCAGCAGGAGAGGAGTGAGGTTGATTGTTTTAGTTCACTGCTCCGGCGGTGACGTCATGGTGTCCGTTAAGAGTCAGCCCGTATTTGGGACGAATTCAAATAAAAAGGTGTGTTACGGACTGCAAATGAAGTCAAGTGTGTGACAGCAACAACAAAAAAAAAAAAAAAACACGGCCAGAAAATAAAAACGCTTGTTGTGGTGACAATGGCTACACAACACAACACACAGAAGCCACACGACCCGAGGGGACAACAATAAAGATGGCGTCATTCTCCAGTCTTATTAGTGACGGAAGGTGTTTTAATGAAGTAGCGAGAACTCTATTCTTTAGTAGTGCCCTCTTATTTATTTACCGAATAAATACTTGTGTTTTTCACGGATATGTGGGGGAAAACATTACCTTGCCGTGTGGCGCCCTCGTCCGGAAGTTCAAAGCACGAGCAGGGCCTCAAAAGTTTCAGCCTCCTTCCTTAGCAACCGTGTTAGCAACCAGACGCTCCCGCATCGATACAGGCTCATACCAAATATTACTGAGAGCCACTTATAAGTTATGGCTCTCGTCGTGGAGGATGGAGTTGTTTTTGTTTGCTGTGCGACACCAGCTGACTTCGACGACAAACACTGACAGCATCTGTGCGTCTGTAGCCGGCCAGTGAGTGGCACATCTGGAGAGGCTAGCAAAGTTAGCATCAATGTGCTAACCTCAACTATTGCAGGTACGTGTAGTCCCTCTTTATCTCTACGTTTGTCATTTATTTTCCAGCAGACTCTCAGTAAAATAAGACAAGAAAATGAATGTAAGACATGAGCTATTTTCACTGGTTGCAGAGTTATGTTGCAGAGTGAGAAACAGAAGAACCGAGGGGACGAGGAGGTGGTCAAGAAACTGGTCAGTCAAACATCTTCTTAACAAATGGTGCCGACATTAAAGGGAAAAATCTGCAGCTTTATGGATTTTTTTTAAATTTTTATTTTAGAGATTTTTCCCCCTATGTTTCCAAAATATACAAGCATGCCAATAAAATAACAAAAGGGATTGGATATCTGATGTACCAGTAGAGACTTGTCAAGCCATGAAATTATCAAAAGAAATTAGAATATTATGACATGTAAAGGTTTATTATTGTAAATAATATTTTTTAAAATATCATACAATTTGTGACAACAGAAAAATCAGTTTTTTTTCAGTGTAAATATTCTATATAAAAATACATGTATTTTTTCATTCAATTGTATATTTTTGTCATCTTGTGTACACATTTATTTTATTATTACTTAATTATTATTTCCTTGTACTTTCTTTTCTATTTTTTGGATGCTGCTGTGGCATGTAAATTTCCCTCATATAATAATAGTAATAATAATTCTATTCTAATCTAAAAAGACAAACTGGGTCTGTAATTTGACAAGGATTTGCTTGTTAAATAAGATCTATCTATCTATCTATCTATCTATCTATCTATCTATCTATCTATCTATCTATCTATCTATCTATCTGTCTATCTGTCTATCTGTCTGTCTATCTATCTATCTATCTATCTATCTATCTATCTATCTATCTGTCTATCTATCTGTGTTTTGGTGTGTACTGTACATATATTTAATTTCTGGATTTCTGTTAATTTTGCAAACTAAGATTGTGCATTTGCATGTTTTATCATTTAGCTCCTGCTTGTAGTTGTTTCTGTTTTGTTTTTTTCCCTGAAGCACTTGAACACACTTCAAAACCTGAAGGAACTAAACTCCTCTATGTTTTCTGTTCAAAAGTTTAGTACTAGATTTTTTTTAAATGATGAAAAATTACTGTATTTTTAATAAAACATTTCTTTTTTACACTGTAGGTAAATGTTCAGTTTGAAGTTGCTGGTGTATATTTTGCCTTTCGTTTCTTTTTTCATTATTTTCACTGCATTTGATTTATTTATTTTTATTCCCAGTGATAATAAGACCTTGTTCAAACACAGTGATTATTTTTTCCCAACAGTGCCTGGTTAATGGAGTGTCCTATGAAAAAATCGCACAAGAAGGATGCAATGTCAAGACATTAGAGATCTTCTTCTCTGGTTTCCCTCGCATGGTTGGACTGTCCTTCTTCCCAAGGCTCTGCCAGCTGACCATAGTGGACCAGAACATAAAACACATCGAAGGACTTGAGTGCTGCCCTCTGCTCCAGGAGCTGTGGATAGTCCAGTGCCATCTGACAGTAAGTTTTTTATGACACCTTGAATCATTACAGTCCAAATAAAGTAAATCTTGTGAGCGACTTGCTGTTTTGCAGCACAAGTACTAAAACCTGTCTGTTGCATACATACATTATCATTCATGATTTGAAAAATACAATAACCAGCATCGGTGACTTGTACAAAATACTATTAAACAATAACCTGTGCCATATTGTTTTTGTTGCAGGACATATCTGGACTACAGAACTGTCTACAACTACAGAAACTCTACCTTTATGATAATCAAATCTGTGAAATAGAGAATTTAGAATTGCAGGTCAACCTGGAAGTCCTGTGGCTCAATAACAACTGCATAAATAAAATACAGGTTTGAACTGTAAACTACAAATTCACAAATATGATGTCTATTTATCTAACTAGTGCATCTCTTCCTTGTTTTATGAATAATGTGGTTGTGTTTTTTTCCTAAAGGGCTTGACCACACTTCAAAACCTGAAGGAACTAAACCTTGCTGACAATATTATTGAAAAAATTGGTAGGTTTTTTTTTAACCCTCTGTGTTTTCTTTGCCAAATTTGATGGTCAGTAAGCAGCTTGAAAAATAATATTAATAGATCATTTTAGATTTTAAATTTTATTTTATTTTTTTATAAGGGTACAGCCTTGATCCCAATGTCAGCCTTCAGAATCTCAATCTGTCCGGGAACAAGATCAGCTCCTTTAAGGTAAGATTAAAAACCAAAACATGCTTTTGAATTCCTTCTGTAAAAAGTTTTCTTAGGGATTTTGTAAAATCTTATTAAAATCCTTGGTTTGACAAAGGGCATTTCTAAATTCTTGGGAAATGTCGGGGTCTCGGCCAGTTCAGATTTTCAATCATGTCGACAACGGGCTGGCTGAACAAGACCTTCACTGAGGTATTGAGCAGCATAATTAAAAGTTTTGCCATTCCAAATTCAATGATATGTATTCCATTGCATCTTTAAAAAGAAATTTAAAAAAAAAATACTTCAAAGACTATATAAGAATTTTCTAATATCCAGCTTTGTGTTAACTTTAAGTTTTAGACATATGCTGTAGCTGATGAGCTCATTCAGAGCATTTATACTGAATCATTGTTTTTGTTCAAGGTCATCTTGACCTGAAACACACACGTTTTGTGGCTTTAGCTTTGATTGGGTTAACACCTCCAATCTTATTCCTGCAATCCACATTTTTTCCTAACCTAGCTTTGCTCTAAAGAATTTAATTATTGTCATTCATAGCAGAGTTCCCGGTACATTGCAATACCAGCAGGATCAAAGAATAAGTCTTTGCCCTCCTTGCCATTACGGTGTGACATTTCTTTTTCATGGCTGTGCAGTGAATATAGAAGAAAAAAGAAAAAGCAAGTTATGAAAGATCTTTGGCTCATCTGTAACCCCGTCAACAATAGCCGGGTGACAGACAGTTCCTTCAACACTGAGCGTAAATTTAGGTTTTTAGTCAATTTGCAAAAGATGCCACAATGCTTCTGACTTCTAAAATATAATGCCTATTGTACTGCAGTCTCTTTACAATAGCAATAATGCAGCAGTGCTGTAAACTTATTGTGGCATTTTGACGAAAAAATGTCTGTCTTGCTACCAGATCGTTCATCCTTGAACAGCCTCTAAGAGACTAATGTTGGAAGCATAAGAACCAGATGTAGGGTCTGCACGAGGTTTAAATCTGTTGTTTGTTAAAAACATCAAAAGATAATCAAATTAATTTAAATTATAAATTCTTTTTTTTTTATTCTCGTGAGGAATAACGGTGTCCTTCGTGGAGCAGACACAAACCTTTCTCTGTGTTCTGTTGTTGTAACAGGAGCTGACCCTGCTCGCCCATCTGCCCCATCTGAGTGAATTAGCACTGAAGGACCCCACGTCAACGCCAAACCCAGTGTGCCTGCTGTGTAACTATGCCACACACGTTCTTTATCACATGCCAGGCCTCCAACGACTCGACACCTATGACGTCTCCAGCAAGCAAGTCAAGGAGGCGGCCGAGGTATTGAGACGACTTACGGGACCGCGAGTTCACATGAGTCTGTGTTTGACTTCTGAGAGGCTACACATTCTCTTGATTTGTGTTGATTTCCTAATGACGTACCTGAATTTCAAACAATCCCTTTAAGTTTCCTCTAGATTTTTTTGGAGACACCACAAAAATAACAACGTATGTTTTCTTTTTATTATTTTCTCTGTAATTTAACTCACAATTGTTATTTTTGGTAGTTGTTAAGATACTGAGCAGCATTAAAATGGGGTAGATTTGAACTATGCCTGTCTTTTTTTCTTTTTTTCTTTAAAGTACACATTACTTTTGTCATTTGTTGCCTTTATGTGGTTCTTTTAAGACCAACTAAGGAGTCTTTTTCTTGCAGTCTGCTGTAATGAAGAAAATGATGTACTACAACATGCGTGTACGTACCGCTCAGAGGAACCTGGCAGAGGCCCAGCTCAGTCTGCTCGAGAGGAAAAAAAGTCTACTACAGTTACCCGAAGAATGCAACAGGACCCTCAGCCATGCTCTCAAACGTGTATGTACAATCCATGAAACATTTTGAAAATAACAGGATACGTTTTTTTAGCTGCATGCTGCTGTTTCTGTGCACAGTTAAGAGAACTGTTTTCACTTGGATGCATTCCTAGCTTGAACGTGAGCTCTCCATGGTGCCGCTTAGTTGCAAGAAGTCTGCCTGCAAGTCAGGGGATGAACCAGGAGGACCGAACCAGTCGGAGGAAGGTTCAACTGAAAGAAGTGACTCATCCGCCAACATCAGTCGTGATCCTGCCACGGAGCACAAAATACTCCTAAAGACTGAAGCGCTGAGGGAAAGGCTGAAGCTGTGGACCAGGAGGATGAAGGAGTCAGTTTGCATGTTCAGATGAGAGAATGAATCATTGTTTTGTGTAATTTTAACTGCTTACATGACAGCACCTCCAACATAAAAAATAAAAAAATCTTCTTTTATATTCAGGATTGAAGCCTGGTATGAGCAGGAGTTGGCCAAAGCCACAAACAGGATGGAATACACGGTGCAGTTTCTATTGATGGAGCTTGAAAGTGTTGGAAACATCCGTTTGGAGGAGGGCTGCTCCACCGACCCCTGGTACTCATTGTTATTACCAAACGTAGCTTTAACCGTTGTGTAATTCACAGTAGCAGAGAGGCAACAATAACGCTCTGTTTTTATTTTTTCAGGTTTACATCCTGTTGTGACCTCTTGCTTTCCCGCTTCTCTCCTTCGGACTTCAAGAGTCAGGGCTTCATTGACATTAAGATTGACAGAGTTATTCGGATTCACAACAGTGCTCTGAGGCTTCGCTTTGAGGACAAACTTCACAGCCTGCTCGCCAGCGACGACTCTGTCATCCTTCCACAGTAAGTGAAACTAGACAGCGATGAAAAAGGATGAATAATGGGTCTGAACAATACCTCTGTGCAGATGTTAAGCATAATACTGTGACAGTCAGTAAAAGGACCTTTTTAAGCAGGAATTACAGACGTCGACTGGAGTATTTATTCTATGTAGCTGGCCCTGAACGTCGTCAGAAGGAAGAAACTTTGTGCATTCTAGAGGAAGGCTTCAAAGCCGCAGAGCAACAAAAGGTGCGTGTTCTGCCAGGAAGAATTCACCTGCACACACATTAACTCCTGTCATCCTGATTTATTCGACTAAGAATTAGGAGAAAACTTTAAGCTAATGTGGTGTTTGCTCGTCAGTTCACGCCTCTACACCTGTAGACAATGCAATGAACAGCATGAGCAACAGCAATGAGTCAGAGAAGGAGAGAAGTTGTGATGTGTGTGTGTGCATCTGCATCTAGAAAGAACTACACGAGTGCTGTGGAACAATCTGATTTTTGTTTTTTTAATCTCTTTGAATTAGGCCTTGGGAAGAGTTGGTGCCGTACCTTTATCCAATAGTTTAAGTGTGACCGAACAGCCCAGACTCCAGTATGCATTGCGCCAAGCCAGCCGGTGTGATTCTAAGCAAAGTACCGACACAATCCCCCTTAGGCACAGTGAGTTAGTTGTACTGTCATGTTCTCATATTCCAATTCGCTGGAACTACTGTGATTGTTTTCATAATAGCTAAAATGCTAATGCTTTTGTTTTGCCTCTAGGTCAGGTTATTGTTTCCAAAGTGTTCGTGGGTAACAGCACACCCATTCGTGATGGAGAACCGCTGGACAGGAGCAGCTACCCCAGAGTCTACTCTGTGTATCGCAATGTGGACGCGAAGCACAGATCTGCAATGAGTGAAGGTATCTGGTGAAGTAAAAGACATGGAGATGACTTTTTATTAGATCTGTTCAAACATTTTGTCTTTCTGTGTGTTTTTTATGCAGACAGACCTCGCTCCACCAAAACACACACTGGTCCTGACTGCAATCCACGCAGGAGGCACTGGTTTGTGTTTGAACATGAGCTCGTCCTGCCAGAGTACATCATATACTTTGAATACATCACCGGGGTAATACATGCCTTTATCTCGGAAAGTATTTGATATATCAAACTACAATTTCACAAATATCTTTATAAATATTCATTGCTTATGATAAAAAACAAAACAAAAAACATTCAGGCAAATGAGAGATGATTGAACGGACATTGCTCTAAAGAGTTGATGATTTGTGACGGCATGACCAGGGAGTAAAACAATGACTCAGTTCCGCTGATGTGATGAAGACTCAGCAGGAACTTCAGCCAAAAGAAACAGAAGATTTTTAAATGTCTCTCCTTCAGCTGCACATGTTAACATTTTGATGTGCTGTCACAAGGACAAGGAACAACCTTCATTTTCGAGCCACGGCACAGGCAGAGATACTCCTCCTTCCAACGACATCATCCTGGACAAAGGAGTCCTCAACATGGAGCCTGTGCTGAAGCCGCAGCCCAGGTTGTTGAGCTTGGATGATACGATTCTTCTTAATGTGGCCAGAGCCAACGTCCTCAGTCAGATCACTGTAAGTCCTCGGCCATTTTATTAAACAGGAGTTTGGTTTTGAAGCCGTTTCATACACTCACCGTGACGTCTCTTTAATGGGTTGAATTTCCAGAAGCTTAACCTTCACGGCAACAGTCTGAGTAAAGTTAAGGAGATTTCCAGCCTCACAGCTCTGAGACATCTTACCATCAGCTTCAATGAGTTCACACGCCTCGATGACATTTCTCACATGGTAAACGTGATCCTAGAAAAAGACTCTATTGCTTACTTGTGTAATATTAGATTTAACTGGATCGACATAATAAAGAGTTTTGGACCATAGTATAAAATGCAAATATTTAACACGTGTTGTCCCCTGTACCTAAAATGCAGCCCAACCTTGAGTTTTTGGATGCTAGCTATAACCACTTGGTGACTCTAGAAGGGCTGCGGGGGCTGGGGCAGCTCAAACAGCTCGATGTGAGCTGGAACAAGTTGACCAAGGCCAGAGAGGAGACGGCTGTGCTGAGAAGACACACACCTGCTCTGCTGAAGCTGGACACCCGATACAATCCCTGGGACAAGGCGAGTGCTGTGATCAAAATAAATCTTAATGCTATAAATGGAAGCTCTACAATACTAATTGCATGTTCAACATATGCATAGAGTACATGCTGCAGTGTGTTTTCCCCCTTCCTTCCAGCCAGAAACAGTGAGGATGACCGTACTTGGCCGTCTCACAACCCTCACACATCTGGATGATGTTCTGGTAGCAGAGGAGGAGGCTGCTGAAGCTGTTCAGATGGCTGCTGGCTCCAAAATTAACCAGGTTTGACAGATTTTGTAAATATTTCTTCTTTTACAGATAAGACAATATTTTTATTTCTCGGGTCTGCTCTGCGTGAAGACACATTTTTTCTATAATCATATAAGATGTTGATTGATTAAACTAAGTAGCTACGTGCCGTACTGTAATTCAGTCAGACTTGTTGACACTGCTCGCAGGCATCTCTCCTGGCTCACTCCCGTACCAACGAAGACCGTCCCCGTAGTCTTAGTCTGCTGTCAACAGCCCAGCTCCTATGTCGTTTGAGTCCTGCACCCTGGGGCCTCGGGAGAGAACTGGAGCCCGACTGGACTGCAAAAGTGAGCAGCAGCGGGAAGGCTTCTTCGTAAAATAAGTGACTGTAAAGATGCATTTGGAAAGTAGTTACTCTGGAGCCTGACCGGGCTGCATGATGTTGATACGGTCTCCACTATTGCATAATTTAAACAGTAGTCCATGTAATCTTGAATAATATTTGCTTTTATGTGTTTGTGGTCACTCCATTTTGACCAGATCACCACCCTGAACCTTGACAACCAGAGGATTTCCAAGCTGATTAACCTGAATAAGCTCGTTAACCTGCGTTGGGCCTCCTTTAATGATAACGACATCTCTAAAGTGGAGGGTCTTGAAAGCTGCCTGAAGCTGGAGGAGCTCTCCCTGAACAACAACAGCATCAGCACGCTCAGTGGTCATTCACACACTTAACATGATTTACCTCAGAAGTAGTTATGATACCTACACCTAAAGCAGAGTAACCATCATTATTTCTGTGTCTGTCTTTGCACAGGCCTGGCCAGACTGCAGTGCCTAAATAAACTGAGTGTAGATGGGAATCAGCTGTCTAGTCTGGATGCCTCGGTTCTAGATCAGCTGCCCAACCTGGCTTTTCTGTCAGTGGAGAACAACCGCATCACATCCCTGCATGGAATCCACAGAGTTCGCTCTCTCCTTGAACTTTACATCGGCAGCAACCAGCTTTCTGCTTCAAGAGATATCTACTACCTGAAGGTGAGAATCTACTGTAATTAAAACAGACAATTTGATGTCAAACCTCACGACCTGGAAGAGAAATAAGGATTTCAGATTTTCATCGCGGTAATTAAGCTTGTTTGCGCCTTTTTCTTTTTCAGGGATTGGCGAACCTCATCATTCTGGATCTCTGTGGGAATCCTTTAGTGGAAAAACTGGAAAACTATCGAATATATGTCGTGTTTCATCTCCCCTCCCTTAAAGCTCTGGATGGATTTGCAGTGGTATGAGCCAAAAGTGCAACCAACTGAATGTTGTGATGTTGTAGTGATTCTATCCAGTCATTTGTATTTACTGTTCTTTTCTTTTTTTTCTCTAGGAAGTGAGCGAGTGTGAGAGTGCAAAGAATATGTTCAGGGGAAGACTAACCATGGACACAGTGGCAGAGAAGCTGGGCCACTCAAACTACACAGAAATCACCTACCTCACCCTTCAATCTTGCTCCATTAGGTAATAGCCTAGATCTACAAGCAGATAAAGACAACACTTTAAAAACAAAATGAGCCCAAAACATCCCCTTTGTTTCCCACAGGATGGTTGATCTGTCTCCAGCGGACCAGTTCTGTAACCTGCACAGCGTCAACTTAGACCACAACAACCTCACGTCCTTCTCCGGCCTCATCTACCTGCCCAATATCAAAGTAAAAATCATGCTGAGTGTCCACAGACTGGCTTTAAATGTAGCCAAGCCATAGACTGATAGATTATTTACTTCTTTACAGGCTCTTTGTCTGAACTACAACCACATCGAGTCCATTCTGCCCAGACAGAAGACTCACCTGACTAACAGACAGATACTGTACAGCAAAGTCCACTCAAGCGGCTACGGCCAGCAGAGCCCATCCAAATCCAGCAGGTGATATGAAGCAGTTTTAGCTCGCTCATTTATATAAAAGCGAGATTTTCACACAGAATATGTACTGTTGGGCTGCAATGTGGAGCGGTGGTTAGCACCATCGCCTCGCAGCTAGAAGGTCGCTGGTTCGCGTCCCAGTGAGGAACCTTCTGTGTGGAGTCTCCATGTTCTCCCCGTGCAGCGTGGGTTCTCTCCGGGTTCTCCGGCTTCCTCCCACAGTCCAGAAACATGCTGAGGTTAATTGGTGAATCTAAATTGTCCATAGGTGTGAATGTGAGTGTGCTTGGTTGTCTGTCTCTAAGTGTAGCCCTGTGATAGACTGGTTACCTGTCCAGGTGAACCTGCCTTCACCCTGAGTCAGCTGGAATAGACTCCAGCCCCCCATGACCCTAGTGAGGATTAAGCGGTGTATAGATCAGGGATGGATGGATATTTACTGTTTATTCTTACATTTTGCATCGTTTTTGTGATTTTGTGGACTGTAGCCATTAGGGGGCAGCACTGACCAGCCAATGAATGAACAGCCTATTGACGGTTATATAAACTTTTACAGAGGTTCCTGATAAAAACCTTTTTAAAAAAATGGTTGCAAATGTAGTAATGCAAAAAAAAAAAAAGAATTCTTGTGATTTGAATCAAAAGTGAATTAATACTGATCATTTCCAGAATTGTCATCAGTAAAAATCTAAACATTGAAATCTTCCTAGATAGTGTATTGCAGGAATAACAGGATTTTTCAGTGACGTATTCCTTGTGTAGAAACCGGTGCATAAACAGCGAGGCGACAGGCATCCTTTTGTTTGTCTGACTGTGATTGCCATGAAGAGGTTTGCACCTGTGAGGTCTGACCAGTTAAATGCGCCAGCAGGAGGGAGAATGAGATGTTCGTTTAACCACCGAGGTTGCAAACTGTCCCTCTGTGTCTGTGTTTAAGGGATACTGGGCCCACTGGCAGCCTGGAGCCACTGATGGGAAGCCTGGAGGTGCTATATTTGAGTCACAATGGCATCTCCAATATGGCCAATCTGCAGCTCAGCAGGCTCACCAATCTTAAAGCGCTCTTCCTACAAGGTATGTATGGTTGCTGTACCACCCCTCCCTCTCAAAGCCGGTGAAAAGGGCAGCCTGTGAAAAGGCAAGCACCGAGAGCAAAGTCTCCCATAGACCTAAGGCCAGGTGGGTGATGAGACTTGAAGAAAAGAATGGCTGACTTTCTTTTCAACAGCTTTTGAAGGCTTTTGATTGAGTTTTGCTTTGTCAGGGTGATTTGTCCCACAAAGCCACCCTTACTTTCCTTTCTCTCTTTCTGCTTGAAAACCTTTGGAAGCTGTTTCTGTAATTTCAGTGCTTTTTACACCAGGGGCTAACAAGAAATAGCCAACAAATGTGTCTCAAAATGCTTCCTTTTCTATTGTTAAGGATGTGCAGATTACTGTTGTGTGCAGTCGATAGAAATGTTAAGCTGTTGTTTGAGACGTCTTTCCATTGTTTTAATGAGGTTTGGTCTCTACCTAGGTAATGAGATCAGCCAGGTGGAAGGCTTGGAGGGGCTTCACCAGCTCCGAGAGCTTGTGTTAGACAGAAACCGGATCAAAGGTCTGGCCAAGAACTCTTTCACAGCCCAGAACGTGCTCCTGGAGCTGCACCTAGCCGAGAACCGAATCCGAGAGCTAAACCATCTCGATCCACTGACTGAGCTCCGCAAGCTCTTCCTTGGCATGAACAAGCTGCAGGTATTCTGCTTCAGCGGCAGCAGTCTCCTCACAAGATGGATTTTTTAATGTTTATATTCAGGATTTTAATGAAACCGCGTATTCAATTAAACTGCCTGAATGACTCACAGCACGGTGATTTCCCGAGGTCATCACCGAGGTCACAGCCATCTTTTGTGCAGTTTTTGATTTACCACCAACTTTTACTGATTGGTTCATATGTGTCAGATGTTTAAGAATGTATTTTATTCAGCGCGCAGCAGTATTACTTTTCTGTGCATTTGCAAAGTGAGACATGAAGTATAGTAATCATAAGTCATTACCACCCACTGAGGCACGCAAGGGGTAGCATTAAGGAGATTCAAGTTTGATTGAAGGTCAGGGCTGTGTGCATGGAGAAAGAGGGGAACAATCAGGACAACGTGTAATCAGCTTCTCAGCCTGCATCTCCTTATCCAGGGCGAGTGATTTGCACTTTTGTTGCCAGTTCCTTCTTCCTTTCACTTCCTAAATGTTTTCACGCGTTCAATTAAGAAATAAAATACAGCAATCATCCCAAAGCATCGGTCCTCACAGTGGGGGCGTCTTTGAATCACGGCCAAGTCCGAGCATAAAGCTGGGAGTGAGAGAAAATGCCCCCCATGCCCTGTTGCGTGCCCTGTTGCGTGCCCAAACTCTCTCATGAGATTAATGAGAGCTCTCACATGTAATCTCTCCCATTAGCTGCTTCCATCCTGCCTACACCAAAATTATGAAAGGTTCAGCCGTGATGCATATGTTTCCATTATCTACACACGGCAGGCTACAGCCAGTGGGAAGGAACTGTTACATGGAGGAGGGGTTTGTGAATGAAAAAGAGTTTAAAATAATCTATTGTTGCTCTTCGTTTTGTAGGACGTCACAGAGCTTGACAAATTAGAAGTTCTTCCCTCGCTGACGGAGCTCTCCATTGTCGGCAATCCTGTGAGTATAACTGGGTTGTGCGGACAGTTTGTTGATTTAATTTCATAGCAAAGCAAAACAGAATTCATAGTTTTTCCTTTTTATTCTATCATAAGCTTACACGGTGATGTGAATCGACGAGCTGTCACCCACGGGACACTTTGACCTCCTTCTCTTGCAAACAAATTATCAAAAGCACGCTTATGGTCTCAGTTTCTCTCACAATCCGAAACACTAACCCGGTGCATCTCTGTGGCTCCAAATTAAGTGATTACATGAAGGGCCGTCTGCTGTGCCTCAAACTGGCTGGCATGAGAGACAAATTCGTTGACCAAATGGCAGTGCGCTATTGGCCCTGTTACATCACCCATCTGGAGCTCATGGATCAGGCCTGAGCAGAGCCTACAGCCCAGGGGCTCTCTGTCGTCCATAGGGTAATGCTCAGCTGTGGTTGCCTCTTTACTGCTTGATCCCATCCCCCTTCTTTTCCCATAGGGGAGGGGTTAATCCTGCCAGAGGGTAGAGGCCAACAGCCACCCTGGAGACAATACCTCCTGCTGTTGATCGTATGAGATAGCTCCTTCACCCATGTTCCCTGGCCAAAGTCTGTCTCCTCCTCTCCACTGGACATCCATTGGCACACAGTCACAACTTAATCACAGCAGCAGTGTCCTGCAGGAACATGCAGTTCTGTGACTGGACAGGCTGGGTTCATACCCCGGCCAGAGGGTGCCCTCAGCTGGGCAGGGACCTATCTGCCGCTGTCAGCTGGGTCGCTGGAATAGCTGATGGGAACATGATCACTACACTGGGACCCACATAGCATCATATTTATCCCAGATGTCTCGAGGCAGGCTTCATTCAGACTCCGCTATTGAAATTTCTGGCCTTCAGTTGTCGGAAGAGCGGTTTATAAACAGTACGTTTCATCAAACAGGTGTATTTTATCGTTGCAGGTGGCTCGTAATTCTCTCCACAGACCTGCGGTAGTGCTTCGCCTGTCCCAGTTGCAGGTTCTGGATGGAGTGGTGGTCACTCTGGAGGAAAGGACCAGGGCGGAACTCCTCAGTGCTGATCCATCTGTGAGAACTGTACACCTCGTCAATGCTCACTCACATAATCATACACCAATCAACCACAACATTATCACCTCTGACAGGTGAAGTGAGCAACATTGATTATGTCGTTAGCAAACAGAACAGTCAGTTCTTAAAGCTGATATGTTGGAAACAGCGTAAGCATCTGAGTGACTCCAAAAAAGGAGATCTACACAATACTAGCAATTTCCCTGAGGTTTTGTACCGAAGGGATCAATAAAGTTTTATTCTAATTCTAATTTTTATTCTATTAGGCAGGTAGTTTAATGTTGTGGCTGATTCGTGTGCATGTGCATACACACAGGGCTACGGTTCACTCAGAGATCATGTTTTCAGCATCTTTTGTCAACTTGGGGGAGTTTCATAGGAAAATTGAAGAGTTACACTTGTTGGGAATTTTACAAGATGATTTCAGTATTGTTAGACTACTAAGCCTTTAATATTTCACTTGTCTTCATGGTTTCTGGTCAGACTTTAGTCAGACTGATGAGGGATGCATTGTCAGGACTTCAGTTTTTGTAATATCCTGCCAACAGCACTGTTCACATTCTATACATACAGCATGTGAACAAAAAAGGTTTTACTTTAAACAAATTTGCACTGTTAGAGTGTTGTTTTGCCCGACAGGAATCAACCATCCTCTCAGGACTGAATTACAGATGAACAAACACATTGCTCATTCAGAATCTCATAATGGGCCTCATCATGTAACATGTATTCCAACTGAAAGTAACGAAACGATAACAACTAAACCGCAGCCACCAAAAAAGAGGAAAGCCTGGATCAAACTCGTTCGGTCCAACTGATTTAATGTTCATGTAATGAGAGAGCGGGGCAGTAATTCTCTCGCAGCTCTGAATTAAAAGCAGTCTAAGCCTGCTAGCATCATCCTGCTGATTAGATGAAATGTGCCCGGCCGATAATGCACCAGTGGATTTACCCCCTATTAGCCAGGTCAACACGACCCTCTCTGCTTGTTAATCGGAGATATGGAAATGACAGAGCAGAGACCCTGGGTTTTCTCATTAAAAACACAAACACAAACCTCCCCCCCTATTGACTCTCATAAATGCCATCTCAGTTGTCACTCTAAATCTATGCCTGTAACTGCTTTCGCTTGAATTTGAACATTGTTATTGATGAGCAGTAATTACTCTTCCCCTATAAGATGCTTATATATGTGGAACAACATGCAGTCTAATCACCAATCCTCTGCTAAGTGTGTGGGTGGAGTGGACACAGTGCACGGGGGGCAGTGGTGGATATAGGAAGGCAGAGAAAATAAGAGTGAGGATGCATATGTGAGCGAGGCCGATGGCGTTGTGTTGACCACTTAACAGACGATGTTTACTCATTATGTGAACATCTGCTTATGCTCTTTAAAGCATTTCTGTCCTGGAGAAATACATCAATGTTTCTCATGCTCTTTGTTCAACACTTTATCTTAAAGACATGCTCTCAGCATCCTGGAGCTTCTCTTCCCACCCCTGAAATCAACCTGCCCGGACCGCTGCCCTTCATGCCTCATAACACCACCCTAAGAGGGATGAGTATCGGTGGAGGGCTGCAGAACTTTATGCACGGGCATGACGTGCTGCCAAGTAATGTGGACGAGGATCAATACACATACAAATGTGAGTGTCACGTTTCTCCTGTTGTAGAAGTTTTCACGATGAAAAATATGAAGCTTTAAACTGGCATGTATAGCTTGTTATGTTGGAACTAGTGCTGAAGACCCTGTAACTCTCACCCCATATTAAACCCCAACTCAGACAAGAAGCACAAGTACAGCAATGTTGCTCGAAGTGGCCAAACTGACGTCAACTTCAGACACAGCCGACGAGCAGGAAGCAACCTCCTGAGCACGTGTCTCCTGTCTGATGGGAACAGAGTCATCATTACGAATTCCAAACAGGATCAAGGCAGCAGGTTTGTAAAGACAAAATAATATAGCGATGATTATGATTCTCTCAATTGTTTAACATTTTAAAAAGGAAAGTCTACAAGGTGACGGTTCGTTTGTTGTATTCCAGATTCCCCAGTGGTGGTAAACCTCCACCCATGTAGCGACCAGAGGAGCTGCAGCATTCAGTGATCAGAGCGCAATCCAAAGGTGAACACACATCGCAGCGATGCCTGTAGTCATATTCCACAGTATTTTTATGTCTTCACATGGCAAACAAAACATTAATATGTCTTGATGATGGCATTTTTGTAAGCATGCCTTAGCATGACTTTTGTTTTTTGACATTGCAATAAATAACTTCTTTTTTTTTAAATATATGCATTTTTAAATAAATGAATTTTGCTGCTCTATGAATTATACAGTAGCTTAAAAGTAAAATGCATTTGACACGAGTTAAATTAGGCTACTTGACGAGGCCATGTAGTGCATTACTTTCAAATGCATTTATAATGACTGTGACTTCATGTTCTATCCACATATGTGGATCACTAACCATGGTAATCTGAGGATGAGAGGTTTTGGTGTCATTTCAGCCGCTATCCCATCCTTTGCCCCAAACAAGTATAAAAAAAAAACACCCACAGATGTAAGGGCGTGTGAGCCTGGCATGCTGCGTCCATTGGGTCAAATGCATCCCCAACAAGTGGATAATCCAGCTTTAGCACACCTCTCTGTGGACAATAATCTGCAGTCACTCAGATAAAGATGTAATCTTGAATAAGGTCCAAATGGATTTCAGAGATTGTCAGTTTCATCATGTTAGCCTCTTTTCGAAAAGCTCACTGCAGTTTCGCCTCTAACAGGCAAATCTCGTGTGTTGTAACTGGAAATGAACCTACTCTACTTAATATTTATGATGTTAGTTCTGATGAATATTAGAAAATAATCCTTCATGTCTTCCAGTTGGTTTAGAGTCCTGTGGCTAACAGTCTAAATATGGAGGATATGCACAAGGCCAGTGATGCTCAGTTTACATCTACAATAAAAGGAAATTTCTTCACACTGGAAATTCTCATTTTTGTTGTACATAGATTGAATGTATATGTTTTTCCATTTCCCTTACTGACGTAGTTTGAAAATACATCATTTCAGCGACAGATGAGTTATGAGTCTTTTAATGTTGATTCTTCTTATCTGATAAAGATTATTGTCATTTTGTACTATGCAAGCAAGTTGAGCATCTCTGGCCTAGGCTATATTTAATGGTGCACTAGCTTTTCATAGGGAACCTCTAACCAGATAGTTGTAATGTGCAAACATTTACTTGAATAAAAAATATTAATAGGACACCGATTCCCATCTAGCAAACAGTGCATGAGTATTATAATGCTGAGGAGCTATTTTCACTTTAACCGTGCAGACGTCTGTTATGCAGAACTTATTGTGATGATAAAACACTGTTTCAATCACTTACATAAACACATAAATAGATAGATAGATAGATAGATAGATAGATAGATAGATAGATAGATAGATAGATAGATAGATAGATAGATAGATAGATAGAGTTACCACCACCCTAAATACCTGTAAATAGGCAAAAAAATAAACACCAAGAAAATATAAAATGCAAAATGTACAATAAATGTAATATATCAAGTAAAACAGTCCTGTGTGGAGTGTAATGCAAATAGTAATGTGCAACAAAACAAGTAGAAGACACAACATAAAACGGAATCAGTTGTGAGAAAGAAATGCCTTTTTTTTCCAAACTGCAGCAAAAGCAAACACTGAAAGATTTCTCTAAAGAGCATCGCTTTGAATCCACCAGTTTACAACATTAGCTGCAGAGTTTGTGCATCGGCGGCGTTAACATGACCACTAGGTGTCCTTAGAGCTCTATTGACACTGCCAATCAGTCCTTCAGTGAATTCTCCTCTTGCCCTGCAGGCAGTAATTTATCAGTTGAAGGGGGATATGTGTACTTGGGTTTTGTGTCTCCTGCCTGTGTAGCTTTTGCTGGCAACAGCCAGCTCTACACAGCAAAAGTGAAAAGCTCTCCCCAAACAAGCTCCTCTAATGCATGTACTTAACTTCACTTAATTTGTGTTAATTCCTGGCATTAAGCGGGGCTAATGACTGCGCAAGTGAGTGCACTGTCATTACCTTGGTCTGCCTGACATCAAATGGCAGCTGATGGAAAAAAAAAAAAAAAAACAGCACAGATTTGGGGGCTCAGTGTGAGTGCTCTAATGCATTAGGTATTGCAGAGGATAATTACACATTTTATATTTGTGTACAGTATGTGCAGTATGGATGTTAGAAATATAACTACTTTTAATTCTGCTGTGCGTAGCGTAAGCTTATAGCGAACATACCGCTTCACGCAGTACGTCTCAGATCTGCATTTCTGTCCGTATTTCTAACATTAAAATGACATTAGCATAAAAATTGTGAATAATTCATCACTTCTGAGTGAACCCAGATGCACCGCTCTCTCTGCCTATCTCTCTCCCTCTCCTCGCTCCTCCATGTGAGTAGACCACATGGTTTGTAGCTGGTTTAATGGGATGGAATGTGACAGGTTATGTTTTCATCTGCCTGATACGGAGCCCGGCTCGGGCGGGAGGAACCGGGAGGGAGAAGGAGAGGCTGAGAGAGGAAGAGAGAGGGGGGGAGGAAGAGAGTTGGTCTCCACAGTTGTAATCTGGATTTATAATTAGACATGTTTGTGCTTGTTGTGAATCAGTTATAGATGATGCCCCCCCTCCCCCCTGCAGAACCACACACACACACAGAATAACACATGCTCTGTATGGGGCCATTACTGCTGGTCCACTAACTCCCTGCATTTGCTGTGTCTGTGCATTCAGAGCACCATTAGCCCAAGACTCTGTGAATAATTGCTGAATGGACCATGTTTTCGCCGCGATCTACTCAGCTTCCAGTGTTGGGGATGAAGTTAGAGGGGTGACGACATTGATTGATGTCTGATGCTGAGGTTAACACCGCGGTGCTTATCGAGGCATTATGTACTGTATGTGTAATGGATGAACAACATTACACTCCACACGCGTTACACGTTTACCAGCTTGTATTAAGTTAAGAAGTGCTTTGATAGAGGCTACAATTTTATCAGCATCATCACTTGAGTTGAAATTGCTGTTGTAAAAATGAACTATTCAGCTGCTGATGACATCAAACCACAAGTCATCAACAAAATATAAATTATTTTGTTTTCAAAAGGAACATATTATGTCCTGTGTTTATTATTATTTTTTTATCCTCACAAATACATCCTCTATCTTGCCATATTGCTTCTCTTGAAATCTGTCATTGAGTTATTGTTGTCGCTTGTCATTTTCCTGTAATTTGTTTCCTGTGGAATAAAGAGCGAATGGAGAGAGAGAGAGTAAAAACACAGATAAAACAATGGAGTGAGAGGCACAATTAGAATGAAAAGGAAAATGCTTTTATTTTGTGCAGACATTTTGGATGAGAGCGCGCCTCACAGAAGCATTAAATATTAACTGCTATTCATCTCTGGACTCGTGTGTCATTTATCACATTATTGAACTTGTGCATCATTTATCGCATTATTTCAAACGCACAAAGCGTATTGCGCGGCTGAAATGGCAAAAACAAGTTAACGGAACAAGCAAACAACAGGCAAACGCTCACATTTTCTAATAAATTTAACAAAAATCAATTTTCAGAGCTGCATCAGATGGTTGGAGCAATTTGGTATCGGCCTTTTATATTTCATGAGATTTGCATTGTGTTTCTTCTTTAGTGACTTCGGTCTTAATTCAAGTAGATACTCTTCAGTGGGCAATTGGAAGAAAAACGCAGTGATGTTTTTGAATAAGTGGTGCTATGGGAGGATTACAGGGTGCAATACATGCTGTCCTGACTGACAGCCTCTTCTGTTATGGTTTATTGTGTCCTACACGGAGTAGAAATTGCTTTTTCAAGATGACAAGGAAACACAACCTCCTGCGGACCCATATCCCCTCAGCCCCAGTGAACAACAACAACAATTTAATCTCCTTTGCCCCAGATTGTTGTCTTTCTTTGTGTTGATATTGTGGCCTTTTTAGCGATCACTTGATGATCCTCCTTTTTGCCCTCCTTCTTTCCAACTAAATCAACATTATGGAGCGACAGACACTTGACCGCAATCACTTTCATTATATTGAAATAATAAAATGCTTGTAGGATTTGCTCTTTTTGTATTAAGAACACCACGACAAGGATTTAGAATGTAATATGAATATTTTTAATCCTATGTCAGGTTTCGGGGTTGACTAAGCGCATTAGATTCAGGATTTAAAGATGCTGGCAAGTGAAAAGTTGAAAAATTATTCAGGATAAAGAACCCCATGTGATGTGATCGTTAATGTAATTAGAATTGCAAAGAGGGATGGTCTTTTTATTGTTCAGTGGGACCCTGTTTGAGTATGAAAAATAAGTCCAAAATGCTCCCTGGTTCTTCATAGTGCAGAACGTGGAACCTCTTTATTTAGGGGATGCTTCTTCACATATGTTCTTTTATTTGACGTGCTAAAGATTCCTCATTTTTATTATTAGTATTATTTGGAGTGGTTGCTGGTTACACCATAAAATTATAACTGCAGTTATTTTCATTATCAATTTGTCTAGAGAAGATCAGAAAACTTGCCCATCATTATTTCTCTATTAAATCCCTGGATGGCATTTTGTATTGTATTGAGTTGTTCTGCCACACAATCAGTCCAGAACCAGAAATATAAAATCTATTATAATGGAAGGCATCTGGAAATGCTGCAAATTCTTACATTTAACTTTTATGCTAAAAATAAAAGAAAGAAGAAGAAACACTTTATTAAATTATTAGAATGGCCTGTTATTTAAAAAAAAAAAGAAAAGCAAGTGGGTCCACAAAAAACTACCTTTAACCTACAGTTCTTTGGAGCGACTTTACAGTGCCTAAGGGAAACGTTTTTTGCATGTTTCTTTAAGGGTTCTTTAAAGAATCTCTTGTTCAAAAGGTTCTTTGATGAACTGAAAAAACTGGTTTCTTGTACGTTTTACTACGAGGAACCATTTCTGGTTCTAGTTTCTTCTCGGACTGTATTGAATGGAGAGGAGGCTGTTTGGGTTAATGTGACTTTTGTCACGT